TACATAGTCAATCTTGGTAACACTTGTTACGCTGACTAGTTCAGTATTCTAAATCACTCTTGGTAACCCTAGTCAATCTTGGTAACACCTGTTATGCTGACTAGTTGAGTTTAAATCACTCCTGGTTTCCATTAAAAATTATGGTATCTACATGATACGTTACCTAGTTGAGTTTCACTCGCTCCTGGTTTCCACTAGACAATCTTGGTAACTCCTGTTACGCTGCCTAGTAGGCATTTAACTCAATTGAGTTAATAATCAAGTGTTTGAATTCTCTTCAGAATGTACAATCAATCATATTGTTTACAACTCTTAGACGATAAATCTCACAGAGAAGATGTGTTTACAATACAACTCAATCTAATAGACCTTGAAGAATTTTCTCTCTTCTTACAAAAGTAAGCTTATGACTTTATAAGGCTTGTAAGTATTTTCTCAACGTTTGTGTTCTTGCATGAGTATGAGCTTTTCTTGGACAACAGACAACCCAGCCCGACCAACACCAACCTAGCCTAACCAACAAAAAACACGATTCGGCCAAACAACACAACCTGACCAAGATCAACCTAGGTCGACCAACTAACCCAACATAGGAATATACCAAAAGCAGTATGACAACATACCAAAACACAACACGATAACATACAAAACAACATGGTTCACACTTATAACATCATTGTTTCAACTTAGTGAAAGAAATCCAAAATAAATTCAAACAACATGACAAACTTGCATTTGTGATTAACTAACACTTATACACTACTTCCTTATGAAAATTCACCACATTTTAAACCTTTACAAAACACCAAAACACAAATATTGCTAACATTGTTCTACACAGAATCAATAAGTATATCCAAAATACTTACAACAGTCATACATCATGTAGTAATTTATATATCCAAGAAAATTTATTCACATGCAACAAATCATAACTTTAAGAATTGAAAAAATATATATCACTATAATCGTACACGCAAACGTTTTGTGAAGTTTCCATGTATGTATTCATTGAATTGAAAGGCCATTAAGAAACCATAGTACAGAACAACTCAATCACAACATAAACACGACATATAACAAGAAAAAAAAGGAAAACAAATAAAAAGGATAGCTCCCATTTCACTAATTCCTATCCTTGATCAGAAGACGCCCTTCTAGTGCACCCACGAGCTCTCACAATCCTTCAATATGAAACCTTTTTTTTCCTCATAGCACACTCACATTTTTGCCTCTTTTTCTCGCTGTGTAAGGTTTCTATCTTAACCTATCTTAAATAGAAGACACATCTAACCCTAATTTCAGAGTGTCTAGGTTTATCCCTCAAGCCTCTGTTAAAGACTATTATTGTAAAATAAAATCAAATAAAATATATTTTAACTCTGATTGATCCTTAAATTAAATATTTCATTTTAATTTTTTTCCTTTTTGGCCTTATTTTGCATGTTGGATTATGATCACAAATCCTAAGACATCCTACGTTAAATAATCACGTTAATTCTCTAATTAACTTTTATTTCCCGTGCTTGTGACTTGATACAACGAATTTATTCCCATCTCTTCTCTTTCACCAAAAAGGCCAAACCCAAAAAAAATAATTTGCTCTAGCCAAGGATCGAACATACCATCCCTAAGCTCTAAACAAACACACCAAAACAAACAAATTATCACAATTATCTTGTCATACACATGCGCACCAAACATTACAAACAATATCACACATACACGTTCATATTATATAAATAAATAAAAGAAATTAAGTATGTCTTATGCACAGTAAGAAATAAACCAATGACTCCAACTCATAAAAGGAGCACTAACCAAGTATTTTACTCTTCAGTTTGCATTATTATCTTTTTATTTTAATTAATAACATCCACGCCCACTACCTTTTCAGATATTTTATTTTCCTTGGGTCTTTCAATGAGTTTTGGATAAGGCCTTAGAGACAAGTTTTGGCCTCGAAAATATGGAGTAGTGTGTTGAACTTTAGGAGTTAGAAAATTTGAGGTTTGGATTTCAAAGGATGGGGAATGATGTTGGAGTTCAGTAACAACTTCTTAGCAATGTTTGTGGCCTGAAGGTGGAAAGTGATGGAAGTTTTGAGGTTAAAACTAAAAAGGGTATAAGAACCCGCAAGCGAACAAAGGGGATCAATTTTTTAGAAAAGGAGAATAAGATGAAGTACAACTTGAAGATCAGTTAGGCAGGGTAATGTTTTCTAAGCTAGGGAAACATAGTCTTTGATAACAATGAAGTATCATAATGGTTTTATATAAGTTCAAAGATCACAAGGATATGGTTGGATCTTTTTAGTAAGTGATAGCATTAAAGTCAATAATAGAAAAGATGTTTCAAGAAAAATGGTTCACATGGGGAAGGTTTGATCTTAGGTTAAGGTGGAGGATTTCAAGTACCAGAAGAAGAAGCAAATCAATAAGTTTGATTTGTAAGGAAATACAATGCTAATGATTTTAGAGCACTGTAGAAGGAAAGGAGAAGAAAATTTTTGAGTAGCTGAAAGGGTGGCTATAACTAGTGATGAAGCAGTTACCACATATTCTTAATTCAAAGATACAAGTTACAAATTTTGTGCTGTACTAAAGTTTTGGTTTCATTTGGGGTTATATATCACTTAGGGTCACCAATATGCTAAATGGTCATGGTTTCCTACAAGAGGGAGTTGGAGTTAAGTTGGTAGTTTGTGCTACATGTGGCCAAGTGAAGATTGCTTGAATATGTGACATGTCTCATGGTGATCAAAGAATTGAAATTCAAAATCTATATGAATGGTTCCTTTTGCAAGTTTCAAGCATAATCTTAAGGATGGCTTGATTGTTTGCCAGTCTCATTCTTGTAGATTTTGGTCTTTAAAAGACGTTCCTTGTTTGCCAATCTCATGAGTTGGTTGTTGTGCATCAAGTATGGATTAAGTTGAAAACTGAGGGCAAAGTGTCATAAGAATCAGAGTAGTCGGACAAAGAAAAGTAAAAATTAGGCACATATGATCTTAGTTGTGGAAGAGTTTTTTATTTGTGTTCTAAAGTAGGTACTATAATTGTCACCTAAGAGTGGTGGAGTTCACTATTACTTTGGTGTTTGAAGTAGAACCAAAGTCAAATAGTTTCTAATTAGATAGTTCCTACTGAGAGTGGGAAGTAAAAGAAGTATATGGGGGAGTGGTTAGAGAAGTAGTGGTTTAGACTCAGTTTAAACACCAGAATAACTACAAGTTTAGTAAATCTCAAAGGAGAAGTTGTGGTCTATCAAATCGTTCAAGCATAAGTCTTGACTATGAAAGGGGTGATTATTAGGACATGTGTTTTTATTTAAAACTTTAATGTCAACTTCTTGTTATAATTATTTTTTATAGGATTGCACAATATGTTTACATTTTACTTTAACAACAATATTTGCATATATATTTCATTTTAATAAAATATATAACTTAAAAGTTTAATACTAAATTTTAATCATATAAAAATATTGTTGGGTTAAATATGTTTTTAGTCCCTAAACTATTGGCCGTTTCTGGTTTCGTCCCTCTTTCAAAGTAAGGTACAATTTGGTCCTTATTCTTTTCGAAAACGTTCGTTTTAGTCCTCGAAAACTAAACACTGTTTAAAAATTTGGTCCTCATTTAGCAACAATGAGGACTAAAACCAAAATTCCGAGGACTAAAACGAACGTTTCGAAAAGAATGAGGACCAAATTGATACCCTTCTTTGAAAGAGGGACGAAAACCAGAAACGACCAATAGTTTAGGGACTAAAAACATATTTAACCCAATATTATTTTACTACACATCACTAATCAATTTTTGTGTGAATTTATTATTTAAAACAAATAATTTGTATCCAAATATATATTTTAAATTTATTATTATATTATTGTTATTAGTATTAATATTATTTATTATTATTATTATTATTATTATAAATCTTCTAGTTCATTTTAAACTATTTAGATATTAATTTACTTGATAAATACTTCTTATACCTGATCATGATTCTTGGTTTTTCTTAACAATATATTAAATTTAAACTTTCCAAACATAGACACTAAAAATATTCATAAGAAAACTAATAATAATTATATCAATAATTTTAGTGGGAAATATCAATTCTCAGTTAACTTTTAAGTAACTTTTTTATGTTTATAGTAAATCATCAAAATTAGAATATGAATTTATAAATTTAAGAAACTGAGATTGAATTTTATAATTATAAGTAAAATCCTAGGCTCTATTGTTTATAATTGTAAGTCAAATTCATAAAAAAATAATGAAAATTCATTGAAGAAGCTGAAAACTATTGAAAATGTATAAAACAACAATTACTTGATAAAGGGAGACAAATTATTTAAAAGTTCTTTAAACAAAACATTGTTGAGAATTTGTAATAATTTTTAATAATTTGTAACAAGAAATAGTTATTGCATGTGGTAGTGTCTTTCTGTATGCGCACTTGCTGCCTGCGTGTGTGTCTTTTTGCATATGCGCGTGTGCTTGCGCGTGTGGGTGCGTGTCTTTCTCTGTACGCGCTTGTCTGCATGTGTGTATTCACGTGCACTGCGTGTGTGTCTTTCTGTATGCACGTGTGTCTGTCTGCATACGTGTGCTTGCGTGTCTTTCTCTGTGCGCGTTTGTCTGCATGCGTGTGTACTCACGCACACTGCGTTTGTGTCTTTCTATATGCATGCGCATGCCTGTCTGCATACCTGCGCTTGCGTGTGCACGCTTGCTTGCTTCCGTGCGTGTGCGTGTGTGACTATGAGCGTAAGTGAGTGAGTGCGTGTAGTGCGCAATTAAAATAAAATTTTCCAAGTTTATTATGTATGTTACTCCTACAACAATTTTTAAGTTTTATTAACAAATAGTTTTCTGATTATTTTGGAAACAATTCGAATGTAATTATCAATGTTTTAAAATTCCATCCTTAAAAAACTTTTTAAAAATATTTATAATTTGCTCATAATGAATAATTACAATGTAATATGAATTTGTTTTGATGGTAAGAATGATAGAGATGAACTGGAGAACAACAGTGGGCATCTATGGTTTTGGAATTATATGGAAAGGTGCGTGATGTAAGGCTATGTCTGCAACGGTTATTTTCCTTGCTTCCAAGATCAGAGCATGCAGATGTAGAGCAGCTGCTTTGTCGTTGCTCCAATCTGAACCATCTTCACCAAACTCAAGCCTTCATGCTTACCAGAGCTCTCAAGAAAGACCCACCATCTTCCTCTACAACAACCTCATCTCTGCTCTATCTTCACACAATCCCACTCTTGCCATTTCTCTCTTCAACGCCATTCGCCTCCATGGCTTGCGACCAGACTCTTACTCTTTTCCTTTTGCTCTCAAGGCCGTTTCTTCTTCACCTTCCCTCCGTCTCGGCCGCCAGATTCATTCTCAAGCCATTCTTTCCGGCTTCGCCACCCATCCCATTGTCCTCACCTCCCTCATTCACATGTATTCCTCCTGCGCTAACGTTTCCTCTGCCCGCAAGCTATTTGATGCCGCCGCTTTCAAACATGTTTCTCTCTGGAACGCTATGCTAGCCAGTTATGCCAAGCTGGGTGATCTCTCCAATGCTCGCAACTTGTTTGAATCTATGCCTGAAAAGGATAGGAATGTTGTTTCATGGACTACTCTTATTTCCGGATACACGCACACTCACAGTCCTCAGCAGGCTATCACTCTTTTCCGCACTATGCTGCTCCACAACGTGCAGCCAGATAAAATTGCCATTTTGGCTGTGCTCTCTGCGTGTGCGGACTTGGGTGCTCTCCAGTTGGGAGTGTGGATTCACAAGTACATTGAAAAGCATAAACTGCCTAAGATTGTATCACTTTATAACTCTCTTATAGACATGTATGCAAAATCAGGTGACATAATTAAAGCACGCCAACTGTTTGAGAGTATGGAGCGTAAAACGATTATAACCTGGACAACCATGATTGCTGGACTTGCTTTACATGGTCTGGGAAAGGAGGCCCTCGACCTATTTTCTTGCATGGAGAAGGCTGGAGTCAGGCCAAATGAAGTGACCTTTATCACCATCCTTTCTGCTTGTAGCCATGCTGGATTGGTTGAACTGGGCCGCTATTATTTCACGGGTATGAGATCCAAATATGGAATTGAACCAACGATAGAGCACTACGGGTGTATGGTTGATTTGCTTGGCCGTGGTGGCTATCTTGAGGAAGCAAAGGAGCTAGTTAGGTTGATGCCGTCTGAAGCCAATGCAGCTGTATGGGGATCCCTTCTTGCTGCTTCAAATAGATACGGCGATGCTGCACTGGCAGCGGAAGCTTTGCACCATCTAAGTGTGATGGAGCCCCAGAATTGTGGGAATTATTCTCTCCTATCCAATACTTACGCTGCGCTTGGTAGGTGGAAGGAAGCTGGTATGGTGAGGAAGGTTATGCGGGATACGGGTATGGAAAAGGTGGCAGGTGTCAGTTTTATTGAGGTGAACAATACAGTATATGAATTCATCGCGGGAGACAGATTAAACATCAAATTTGTTGACATTTGTCATGTCCTACAAAGCATAAACGGGCAACTCAAGATGATTGATGTGAAAAGGGAACAATCCATAGAACTATATTGATGGAAGAGTTTAAAGCCTTGTGATTTGATGCTTCTAACTATGAGAAGGTGGATGATAAAATTGTAGTTTGAGTTGTAATACTTGTATTTGATATTGTGAGTTATCTTATTTGGTTCTGATCCTGTGTACACAAATAATTTTGAAGTCTCTCATTTAAAGTCAAATTGAACAGTGAAATTTTAATGGATTATAAAAATATTCTTCATCAATTAACTACTTAAACAATAATCACGTCGAATTAAAACATGTTTTTTCGTTAATAATGATTTTTTTAATGGACTAAATTTTATTTTAATGGATTAAAAGTAACAACTTTATATAACTTTACATAAGAACAATATTATTTTATGTTAGATTTAAAAGAAAATATTTTTTTAAAGATAGTTATAAATTTTAAAAAATGTTTATTTTCTAAAATAAATGAAAAATAAAATTATTTTTAATTTTTATATGCATTGATTTGAAACTTTAATGTATGTATATGTTTTAATAAAACAATATTATATTTATTTTTCAAATTATTGTTGTTATCAAATTTGGAGCTTGGTCTTCCGACATGTGGTGGAAGGTGATCGGATTGGAAATATGTTTCTTAATGTTGAAAAGTGGAAGGTTATTGGATTGGAAATATGTTTGTTAAGGTTGAAAAGTGTAGGGAGAGTTGGATGTTATATGTAAAATAGCAAGTATAATTTTTAGAGTATTAAAAGGCATTTAATGACTATTAAAAGAATATAATAAAAGTGTGTAATGAATCCTTGTTCGACTATATCGTCAAACACGTTTGGGCCTAGTATATATAAGTTCTTTTTGTCTCAAAAGTTTGATTTAGCCTAAGGAATGCTTGTAATCGTCCTTGTGGTTTGGCCTTACCGAGTTGTAGAATTTACTAGTGGTTTGGCCAGCCGAGCACATATATCATTTGACCATTATCGTGAGTTTGTAGGTGTATTGGTCATTTAGTCAAGCTTGTAGGTGGATTGGTCATTCGACCAAGCTCATATATCGTTTGGTCATTCGACTTTGCTTGTAGGTAGATTGGTCATTCAACAAAATCCATATATCGCTTGGCCATTCAGTCGAGCTTATAGGTAGATTGGCGCGGTCGAGCTCATATATTGTTTGGTCATTTAGCCAAGCTTGTAGGTAGATTGGTCATTCGGTCATGCTCATATATCGTTTGGCCATCAACCAAGCTTTCATGTAAATGGGACATTCAGTCGAGCTTGTATGTCGTTTGGCAATTCGTCTGAGCTTGTAAATTGGCCATTCAGTCAAGCTTGTCGTTTGGTCATTCGGTCGTGCTTATGAATTGGCAATTCACTCGAGTTCGTTCAAAAGCCATTATGTAAGAAACGCCCTTTTCGTCTTATGTTAAGTTTAAGCAAGCTTTATGCTAGACTGTCGGCTTAGCCAGGCTCAATTAGGTGTTGCCAACTTTAGGCAACTTTTGTTGGATGTTGCCGATTTTGATATATCCTAATGTTCATTTTTGGTTGAATTGATGATGACTTTTAACTTGCTTCTATACTATATTTCGTTATCTTTACTTCACTTCGAGCACCTTCTTCAAGTATTTCTCATGTCATTCTTAGTCTTTTTCGAGCTTGTCCTCAAGTTTATTGTCCTCTCTTTAAATTATCTACTGTAGCAGGAATTAAAAGTGGTCGAGGTAAAGACTGGTCTAACAGACCGGCTTATGTTTGAAGGTCGACCAAAACTAACGAGCAAAAACCTAGAGGTGTGCCAACTGAAAGGGATTGAGAAAAAAAAATTCAAGAATCATCAAATGAATCTTCAAGTGAGAACGACTAAGGTGAAGATCGAGATGAACATCTTGACCGACTCTATGGAGGGGTTGAGGAAAAATTCAAGAATCTTCAAGTGAGAGCGACCAAGGTAAAGATCGAGATGGATGACCTGACTAGCTTATGTGTGAAGGTTGGCCAAAACCCTTATGAGCTGACTTATAAATTATGGCAAACAAAGGAAGAAAGATGTTAAAAGATTGGCGAGTGTTGAGCTTTTCAAGAGAAGGTGTTTCAGGTATTGTAATATCGAGTTGCTCTTGTTTTTGTACTCAGATATTGGAATGTTGAGTTCCTATTATACCTAGTCTAATGCTTTATTTAATCTCGAGTAACTTGATGTTTCCTTTGTTTGATTGACTTGATGACTTGTCTTGCCTAAATGGCTTTTTGTGTCACGCTTGAAGGTCTTTTTATTTTATTTTTTTTTAAATTAGGTTTAAACATAAAACATAAACTATCACATGAGTCTTGGTTGTGCCACGTGTCAGCGTTATTGTATGTGATAATGGTAGTTTTTAATTTAGTTCCTCTATTTAAAATTTTGATTAAATTAGTGTCCCTATTTTTTAAAATAATCCAATTTTGTCCTCACAAATTTGAGACTAAATTAGTAATTAAGCTTAATTACAACTTATATATACATGTTAAAATAATTTTTTAAAATTTATACATCAAATCACTCCACATAAATACTCAAATTATTTTATGTTTTACATTTTTTCACTTGCAAATTTTTGCATTTGAAAACTTTTATACTTGTAAAAATTAAAATAATTTAAATATATAAGTTGTAAAATTATTTTAATATAAGTTGTAATTAAGTTTAACTATTAATAACCAAATATATGGACGAAGAAATATTATAATAATATACATTTTTCCATCCAACCACCAGCTACTTATATGAGTAGTTATATATTTCTTTTTATCAACAAAGAAATATATTATGGACAAACCTAGGAAAGTATAATTTATATTTTTTTCCAAAAAAGCTTCAGGAAAGGAAAAGAAAAAGAGAGAGGTTAAAAACTCAGCCAAATAATTTGTCGGGCTTAAATGGAATGAAAATGGGTCCATTGTAACATAACTTGATCGAGCAGTATCGGATCCTAGGTAGGCTATGTTAGTGAAGTCAAGATGTTACCATGCCAACCTATCTAATTGACTTGATGGGCGCTAACCTAATGTGTGTCAACTTGATGGTGCTGGCTTGTTGAGCTAACATGCTTTTGGATCCCAATATTTGATTTCCTTGATGCCTACTACCTTGCTGCCATGTTACTCCATTGATCTAATGACATGTTGAGATGGCAGGCTGCTATGTCGCTGAGGTAACATGCTTGCACATGAAATGGTAGGGTTGTGCACTCTGACCCTAGTAGATAAAGTAGCTTTCGACTACTTTCCAGATTGGCATACGTAAAAGAAGGATTTGTGGGACTTCTATTTATTGTTTTCGCAGTGGGTTTTGATTAACGTTGGCCTTGTTACTATGCAATTGTAAGTAATTTACTCTTTAGTTAATTAGTTTTAGGATTAATCTATTCTAGTATTGCTCATCTCGATCGGTCAAATTAAATGTCAAAAAATTTGTTTAACGATCATCTGAACTCTATGGTTCAATCTCTAAGTTGTTGTTTGACTTATCCGAGCTTATATGTGGTCGACCGAGCTTGGTGGCATGTGCTTCAGGTTGTGGATTAACTCTGTAATTACTTTCTTCAAAATATTATTATTGATGGTTTATTTAATGGCTACACACCTCTTTATTTCATATATATTGGCTTTGATAATTTATTGCATTCATCTACCCAAATGATATTCACTTATGAAAGTCATAAATAATTCATATACTTGCTTGATATTTGCTTAAAATATGTTTTATTCAAAATATTGTTTATTCAAGCAATTGTCTCATAAAATGTGTCATCTAACAAAAGTTCGCTAAACGTTACATATCTCAAACAACTTTTGATAAAGCATCTAATGTTTTACACCATCTGGTAAATCATATGTTGAATGCTTAAATAAATGATGCATTTATTAATGAGTTGACAAGTGATAAAATGTTTTGAACATAAGGCCTAACGCTTATCAATGTTCAAAGTATTTAATGCATGTACGATAAAGAGTTTTATTGCTCGTATACTTTATTTTTTATATTTGTGGAGATCACTAAACTAGAAAGACTTGATTAGAATCACTACATCCAAGAAAACGACGTTGAGAGATATGAAGAACATTCTGAAAATGTTTCCCTTGAAGATGTATGCTTTGACACATCGTACAAACTATGTTTCGATAAATGCTATAATAAAGCATTGTACCTCTACAAAGTAGACTCGAGTCTGACTTCTCACATAAAAGGGCACCCAACTCTACATCAAGTCAACCTCTCTGTCTAACGATCATTTCTTAGGAAAAACTATATATAGACATAAGCTTGAAGAGAAGACAAAAAGGATAATATAGACAACTTTGGAACATTGAAACAAGCTTGTTGTTACTCTGCTCACATATCATTTGAAGAAATATTTTCTATAGAAAGAAACATCAGCAAAATCTCCTATTTCATTGCATTGTCTTCATCTTCTCTTTGAAAGTTATCCAATATGTATTTTCTTATAACATTGATTGTGTTGTACATTCTGAAGGGAATCAAAATACTTTGTGTTTAGCTCAATTGAGTTACAATTTAGAGTTATCTAAGAATAAAACAAGAAGTGATTAGAATACTTGTATACTAGGAGTTGTTAAATTCAGACTAGTCGTATTGACTAGATGAATCAAGAGTGGTAAGAATACTCGTAAACTTAGAGAGGTAAACTTGTGTAATCTTTTTAAAGATTAATGGAGCCTCTTAAAAGTTCTTAAAAAAAACTAAACATAGCTCACATTTAGTCTTTTAGAACCAAACTACTTCTAACATTGAACAACTTTTGACAAATAACCTGAAAGATGTTAACGAACAAAATTTGAAACAATCTTACAAAACATGAACTTGTGAATATCACATATTTACTTATTCATAATTTCACTCCAATTTATAGGTAATGAAAAATTATTAGTGTAGTCAAAATAACTAAATATAATACAATAGACTTGATAGAAAAATTAAAATATTTAAAATAAAGTGAAATAAAAAAAAATATGGCTAACAAGTAAGCAAAATTTTTCATTATTAATATAATTTTTAAAATGACCTTTATAAAAGTGAATAAATTTATTATATATTATATTTTTAAAGTATTCATACATAGTTCTTTTTTTTTTTGCCAAATTTGTAGTTTATATTCT